CATTTAGGTAGCCACATGTTACAAAGGAACAGCAGTCAGCCCTGTTATTACGTGTGTTTGAGTCCCCTGCTTCTTGTAATGAGAACAGGATCACAGAGGAGAATTAATCTCTCTGAAGACTTACTCACTGGTTCAAGGCCTCACTGCATTTTAGAGAAAATGCAGGGAAATTGACTTGTTTTGTTGATTTTTGTCGGCCCGGCATTTGATCCAAGGTTTGGAATATTAATGCAAACACGTGTCAAGTGTCTTGCAGCTTTCGCTTGACAGTTTTTGCCCAGAATATTGATCCACGGTTGCCTGAGTAAAAGGAGACGGTTACCAGGGGTGCAGTAACAAAATTCTGGGCCCTGTGCATGAGCAGACTCTGTGCCCCCCTGTCTCTCGTGTGTGATTCCTGGCTGTCTGACTGCCTTAAATCTGAACAACTGCTCTGGGAAAGACATGACAGTGTGGTGCTCCACCTCCATAAGCAGTCAATCACTCAGCTCTAGCTGCATTTAAAGATGAATCCTAGTGCAGGCCAAGGAGGTTAAAAAGAGGAGAGGTCAAGGGGGTCATATCACATCATGTCATTGGGGTACAACACATGCACAGTGAAATCTGGTCTGCAACTGCGGAAAGGCTCAATAACTGGCACACTATCATAGAACATGGGGATGAATTATTTGTTTCACTCAAGCATCCACAGTCTGCCTTTACCAAAAACAAGGTTATGGCTGGAAATACAATTCTGCAGTTCTTGGAAGTTCTTGAACATAGGACCATAAACATATGCCTTCAATATGAAAACATTCTGTTGTATATCGGCCACCATACATTAGAGTGTACCCAAATGTTCATTTAGGCTGAGCGTCATCAGACAGCCTCCACTACTTTTTCTTATACAAAGGTCAGTCTCATAATTTCATTTCTCAGCTAATTTTAATTTAGTTATGGTACTAATAACTTAGAAATAGAAAATTGCAAACAAAACCACACTTTTCATTCCAGGCCTTTTGAGGGCCCCACTCCCATTTGAACCCTGGGTAATCAGTCCTTTTCCCCTACTGCGACGCCCCTGACAGTGACAACTGTTCATGATAGAGAATGGTGGGTCTCCAGAATGGCTTGACTCACTGCAGTGGTGTATGATAGTTAAAATGAGCCCCAGTGCATGCTACAATGATGGGCCCTAGTGCCAGATTTGGCAGATTTAGCTATACTGTAGTATCCTGTCACATGATCAAATACAAACTTGATATTGGACAATATCAACATACATATTACCCAGCAATCACTACTGCAAATCTGTATATGACAAAAATACCAAATAAAATGGGAGATGATTCAATTAATTGCATCATTTTTATAGTTCATTTATATATTTTTACAGTTTATGTAGAATAAACGCATAAGTAGATTCCTACTGACTATTTCACACACACACACACACACACACACACACACACAAAGGCAAAAAGGGCATGTTAAGCAGATGGCACTGTTTTTATTTTAACATGAGTTATTATTTCTGATCACAAGGGCCTGTTCCCCCCGATCACAACCGCACTGCCAGCACTGTCTATATATATGCCCCTGACTCACTGTACCACTTTGTGCCTGAAATGTGTGATGTGTTTTGTTTTAACTTTTTAAAGTCGACTGAGCGCGGTTTGTCTTTGCACGCCTGTGTCACACATGCTCAAACGCAAACACCACAGTGTTTGATCTTTTAACATCTACAGTATGTGAATTTTGGCTTGTGGACACTCTCAGCGAGCTACTGTTTAGCAGTGCGAATGTTTATGGGACGATGAATGGGGTGTAATATGGCTGTGAAGCTGATTCAAAAGGGCTTAACTGGATTACAACTCATTTCAAGGATGCTTAAGGTAAGATTAAAACAGATATGTGGTAAGTGAGGAAAATACAAAATCAAATAGATTGAATTTCACTCACTGGTCTTGTAAGCCACTTGCTCATGCATGGCTATCCTGTGTGTTTTTGCGAGGCGCTGAGTTAAAAAATCAGATGCCTTTCTATGCGGGACAATATGATTGTTAGTGTAAAAAAAAAAAGACATTCAGCAAAGGGAAACATACGCACATTTCAAACAACAGTTTTGCTCTGTTGGACCGTCACAATTCACCATTAATGCCCTTTCTTATCTCATGCTACAAATCCCCGGAGCTGGAACATTAGAAGTCTCTAATCACACACACTGGCACACATTGAGTGTGTGTACATGCACTCTAGCACCACTCACACACATGCACAAACTCACACACCTCACATAGAAAAGATAATGAATTTAATACCACTGCTATTACAGTCAACTAATGTTTGTTAATAGCCTGGTGCCATATGGAACGAGGGCCTCACCCATGTGGGTAATTCCTCTTTTTGGACAAGCTGTCAATAAAAAGGCCTTGCATTTTGTGGATGCATGTGGTAGAGAGGGGGCGGGGGGCTGGTGGATGTGCTTAATCCAGCAGACTCTCTAATGATGCGTCTGTGCCTCGAATGGGAGCTACAGGCCTCTGAATATACTCGCAGCTGTGTTTTATCTTTCCTATCACGGCTGAAATATGTTCACATTAGCACTCCATTGAGCATTTGTGCATATGCTGTTCAGTTTGGCTGGGTGCAAGACTCTGGTTTCCGATGTGGCGGGGGGCTAATGGAAGTAGTGGTTTTAGAGAGAAAACTTTATGACGTGCCTGATTACCCCCCCAAACTCCCCTCCACTACCACCACCACCTCCCCAAAATTCTCCTCCCCATATCCCTCTGGCAGCACTGCAGCCCAGCGGATAACCAAGCGTGGATTAGCAGTGACATCACACTGAAGAGATGGCTGAGCCCGAGTGTGAGGAAGGGTGAGTACTTGGGTGCGCCCGCGCCCGCGCGTGCGCGTGTGTGTGTCTCAGATGGGTGTGAGCATTATGTGTGTGTTCAAGACTGATTAGACGATGAGGGTGGTGGTGAGAGGGAAGCGAGGATTAGAGAGCCATCTGAGAGTTGGCTAGGTGCTGACACCACTCCACCTCACCAAGGGCTCAATTTACTGAGGGATCAGACTCATTTATGGTGGGCTGGGATTATTATCAGTTCAATAGGGCAATTTCTTTATTACAGTCACCCTTCAACCTGTGAAATATGGACACATGTGAGACATTTATGGGTGCATTTATCTTGTTTCAGCTATAATCTACTTCTTTTCTGCTACAATTAATTGTGTATTAGCAGCAGGTAAAGTAGTGATAGTGTTTAAATGAAGTAGTATGAGATCGAAATGTATAATTTCAGATGGAAATCAAAGTGTTTGTGTGGCAGTGTACCACAAAAAAACTACATTTTCTTTCTTTTTAAAATGACTATTAGGAATTTCAGACAAATTCCATCCATCATACTTCAACTCCCGGGAGTCTGCAGGGACTGTGGCGTGGAGCTTTTTCTTTTTTTAAAGGCTCAAAATCGGATGAGACAGGCAGCTATGTTTGAGTTTGGGTTTACCTGGAATGTCAACACTCTTAAGCTGGCCCTCTGTATTGAGCCCCTTGTAATGCATTGAGCATCATTCACCTGATTCTTCGACAGCACCACAGTCCACTGAGAAAACAGGTTTCATCTGCATCTACGACAACAGAAAACAATGGTGGAGAGAAGGACGCACACGTTTAGTTGTAGCCTTAAAACAAATGTAAGGGAAGTGGAGGCTGTGCCATTCAGTCCAGTTTGAGACCTATTGTGAATTTGTCAAAGACTGCCTACCAAATACATATCCTTCACAACCAAGACTGGAGGTTAATTTTACCTTGGAAACAGCTACTCGTGAAAACAATCTCACCACAAAGTGCATTCAGTAGATGTTCAAAGGCAGCTGAGTTGCCCAGTTATGAAAATTCAAATGTTAAGAGTCTCCAACAACCTCTGAATGGACAGAAATAGTTATGAAAATGTATGCAATGTAACAACTGACTTTTTCTCTGAGACATGCCACTAAAAATGTGAAAAATATTGGATAAAATGCAAATCCTATTTGACTCTGAAGTGATCTTTTATTTATATGTTTACTCTGTTGAGGTAATTTTGTTTTATTCCGTCCAGGTTTTCCATAAATTCAAAGTCATGGATCATGAGGACCTTTGTGATCTTAAAGGATGATTGTGGACATAAAGGACCTGTTATCCATGATACTACAATGTAACCTTGCTTCTTTTCCTTTTCTGTTTTACAAGACGTTTCACAAGCATTTCACCTTAACCTATGATTTCCCTTCCTGTTGATTTGGTTTTGTCTGTTTTTTCTCTTTTCATAAAAAAATAAAATAAAAAATAAAGTGCAAATGTTAAAACTTCCATTCCTCTGTGGATATAAAGGAAAGGACTTGCTGTCATCCATAGAAATAAGATTTAGAGTTCATTCCTGACCTTATAAAAAGCAGCTAGAAAACTCAGTACATAATTATTCATTTGACTGTAGATACAGTTTGTAATCTAACATGCATCCATACTTCCTATTTGAAAAACCTGAAAAATAGCCAACCAAGCATAAATATTAACATAGAGTAACACAAATATAGAAGAAATAAACAGGCTTAGGTATTTATAATTTTAGCTATTTTCAGATTAATGAATTAACTTTTATATTTAGAGATGTTGTGCTTGTGTAGACAAGAAATACCCTCAGTCAGCCATGTGAACAGAAGTGATGAGATCTCAGCTCTTCACTCTTAGCGTCTGAGTCACAGTGAACCAATAAAATTATAAATGTTTTATATCCTTTTTATATTATATTTTAAACTTTTATAGTTTCCTTGCAGTTAACCAGGAATTATAATTATTAGATTTTCACAGGCAGCACGTCCGAAGGAAAAAACACTCTTCTGTTCCTCCTCTGCAGCGACCCTAAGTCGTTAGTGATTCAGCTACAAAATAAATCACAGCTACTTCACTGACTGCTGTAACTTTAAAGGATGGTGCCCCGCTAATATCGCGAGATTACATCGTTGGCGTGAATTGGGTTGCTGCTTCCCGGGAACCGAAACGTTTCAACTTAGCCAACTGCCAAACCTTCACAAACAAAACCGTAAAGTTAAGTCTTTACTTTGTGTCACATTAACTTTACTTCAGCTCTTGACTAACATCAGTTTTAATGTAACTGGTAGCTTACCGTTTTATTTACAGCCCCCAGCGCCCGAAATGTATGGATGCTAACGTTAGCTAGCTCGCTAGTTAGTAGACTTGTAGCGGTTGTTTGAAAACTGTCGAAGTTTATCCACAAAGAAAAATGTCCGCGGAGCAGAGGACAAGCTGGATACTGACAGGCGCTACTGTCGCCTGTGTCACCGCCCTGTATGTGCCCTGTGTGCAGAGAACCGTCCCCGGTGGAGACTCAGGTTGGTGCTAGCCAGCTAGCTAATGCTTCTCTGGTCATGTGGCTTTGTTGTGTTGCCAGACAGCCAATCGCGTGGCGCCTTGTTGGTGCGGCTGCTGCAGCTAAACGGGTGCTGTCCGTGGTACTGCAGGTACATGAGAGACAGAAAACTTTGCTCATGTACATACATAAGAGAGTTTCACTAATATATTGATTTAAAAATACACGTGATTGACGTAAGAAACGTAAGCTATGTTCTCAGTGAGCTTCCAAAGTGTTCATCATTAATATCTTTAGATTGATCTGCAAGAACATACATAGTTCACACACCAGCACCGTTTTCACACTCTACTCTGTGCTATTGATTTAATATTGAAGGTAAAACTGAATGTCAAGTAAATACATTTGAGATAATGCCTGCTAGATGAACATTTATGGTACAGTGTGTAATCAGTATAATAAACACGCAACGCTAAGATATCTTCAATTTCATGTAAACCATTACACATATATTACTGTTGGGTTTGTGGTTGTGTGGTGAAGTGTCTTATATATATTGTTTATACTGTGTTCATTGTGTATTGGTGAGGCAAAGAAGAATTCCATGCCATGTTGGGCAACTAAGTGTATTTATTGTATTATATAAATGAGTTTTGCAAGGGTCTTGCAATGTAGTTACTTTTTTGAGTTACCTTTGACTGAAAGAATGTGATTAGAAGGTTTCTCTGATGTCAGGATCAAAAACAAATATGACCCAGTGGATTAACATGAATTTATGCCATGATAATTATCACAATATTAACTTGACCTGCAACTATTTTCAGCCAATTGCACCGAAATCATTTGTAATTCATAAAGTTATTAGAAAGTTATTGACTGTGTCAAACATTTTACCAGTTTATATACCTACAATAATGATTGTTTTAACCAATATTTGCTGTTTTTTTTTGTTGAGGTTACATGGAAAAATATCTTAGAGCGTTACTTCTAATACTGACTGCACTGCAGTGGTTGGTAATATAGACACCATTTGCAGTGACAATGTATTGCTGATCTTCACCCACAAAATAATATGAGTACTTTGTGTAAATTTGATATCATGTGTATTGCATAAATTGAATTTACACTTTTCTGGAACCAGCCATAGCAGTGCTTCCAAATGTATTTCATCCGGTACCTTCCTGTGTTGTAGGCCAACATGTTTTCCAACATTCTTGTAATTCAGTTCATGAAGGACTGCCTTGCACAATTACAAACAGTGTTTAGAAGTGATAGCAAGGTTACAAACTTGTAAATGTGGACTTGAGGGCATGAAGGCTCTGCTTGTTAGGTTTGCGCTGCTCTGGCATACAAACTGCTGTGGAGGGGAATGCACATTTTGCGGAATGAAAGCGTATGAAAAGCTCGGCCAGATATGAGCGAGGAGAGACGAGGAGTGAGCAGGCAATTGGAGCACTGAGTAGCCCTGCTGGTTGTGCTGCTGTCTGGCGAACGGGGCCTTTGAAAAAATGGCCAACCCCTTCTCCACAGTGTTTAGGGACCGTGCAGGATGCCCGCTCTGATAGTGCCAGCTGAACACCCTTCCGAATTCTCCAGGTCTCCGTCTCTGTGTCCTAATCTCTTTAGGTGTGATGTGCCCTGGAGAGGCTTGAGCACAGCCCCGCGGGTACGCTGTTGTCTAGGAATGTGGAGTGTGGAAATGATGGGGATTATGGGAAGACTGGTGTGGGTGCCCATGCTCCACTATCACAAAGACTCTTGGCACCCATGCTGCTACCCCGTTGAGTCAATATTTTTCCCTTTTTAGTATTGGGGCTGCAGAACTGCATCTCTGTGGCACTGAGATGGATGTTTTGGCTCAGTATTAGTTTGAGTTTCTCTGTGTTGAATGGTGTAAAAGTGTGCCACTACTGAGGGAAAATAAGTGAAATTGAGAAACCGACGAGGGATGAGAAAGTGTGATGTAAAATGATGGCAGGTAGCTGGCGGCTCATGCCAGGTGAAATGGAGCTGTGAAACATTTAAGCTGTGCAGGTGGAGGAGTTCTGACTTCATGGTCCATTAGAGTGATAAGAGTTAGGGCTCCTCATGTGGCAGGAATTTAGGCATAATAATTCACTGTATCGGTAAGGTTGCAAAATAAGTGATGCACCCAATGCCATCTGAAACTCAGCCATTCTATAATGGTTGATGTTTATTTAAATGCACAGCTTGAAAATAACCACCTCAACTCTGTTGCCTTTTTAGCGTCTAGTTAAAAAAAACTAATTTAAAAACCTTTTTAATGTCATTTGTTTCCTAGGCTATGTGTATTAACTTATTAGGCGTATTTCTAGCTTTTATACTGGTACAGTAACAGACTAACACTCCCGTCAGTACTGAAGCAGGAAACAAGGCCACTGTTTTTTTGGCTGTATTGACAGAGGAGATGACTACCCTTCTGGTACCAGTAGAGGGAGCTGTCTTGAACCTAAACATTTATCAATGTCATTTAATCTGAACCAAATTTCAATTTTCATGAGTGGGAGATGCAAACATTGGGTGAGAAATCAGTATAATTTGAAACGCTCTGGGTGTATTCTGGCACAAATGGGTTTGTGCCCAGATACATTAAAGCTTCCTCAAATAGCTTTTAGGGGTTTTCTTTTCACTTTGTGCTGCGCCTCACACAGAGCTTGTCAAAAAATTGTGCAACCGGCTCTTATTTTTACAGCTTACCTCATTCTGTGACTGTCACCAACGTTGCCTTTCTGTTTGTGCCCAACGGACTAAACAAGACATTGAGGCATTGGGAGTGTGGGAGCAGGAGAGAGGCACGTAGAGCGGCACGGGGAAAAAAAAAGAGGAAGGGAAAGGACCCTGATGCATGGGGAGGATGGGACTGGAAGCATTATTCTCAGATCAGCATATGTGTGTGTCTTTGTGTGACAGAGCATTGGAGAGGGAGTCTAATGGCTTGTGTGTGTGTTTATGACTGTGTGTATGTGCTGGAGACGGGTAGGGAGGCATCAGGGGAGAAGCGAGAGATGAAGAGAATGAGCGTGCCGCTTAGGAAATGTCACACTGGGAAGATTTGTAGGTTTTGATCCTGGCAAATTAATGCAAAACCCCAATGCAAGTATTTGATTTGGGAAAACTTTGGGAGCAGACTTGTCTCTTAATAATAATTATTGGGTTTACATTAATTTCCTCCCCTATTCTCTTCCACAGGAGAGCTGATCACCACTGCTTGTGAGCTGGGGGTAAGTATTAGCTGTATTGTTTAATCAATTCACTCATTAACTCTTATAAGCATTAAGGAAGTTTAATTAAGCATGGGCAGAAAGCAGATTAATTTACTTTCAGTCCACAGGTTTTTCCCCTTCTTTTCTATACACTTATTTTACTAAGTTGCAAGTAGAGAATGCTATAATTTGCAACCCGTTTTTCAAATCCAATTAAAGTCAATGGTAAGGCGATGGCTTTTGTAGGCTTTGCCTTATGTACGGTATAAGGCTTATTATATCCACCCCTCTTTTTTGTGTGTGTGTGTAAGCCGCGAAGAATGAACTAAATCGGGTTAACAGTTATAATAAGTTTTATTATTTAATAAAGTTTATTACGCCGCTGTGATCCTTTTAGGGAGGCTGTGTCGGTGTCACTATGCCAGTAATCCTGCCGTTAGTGCTGCAGTCCGTGTGGCCTGCCTGTCTGCCTTTCAGGCCTCCCCAGGGCCTCGCAGACCGTCCCTGGGCCCCAGGCTGCTGGCCCCCCCTTTTGATCCCCAGAGCTCCAGAGTTCTTCCTTCCCGTGCTCCCTGTGGCCTTCGTCCCCCAGCTGTCCTTTTGCTGCATATCTGTCCACTCCTGTTGGCCACACAGTCCTGTCGCCACATGCTCTGAGCTGATGCTCATTTTGGTGGAGCTACCTGACACTAACACTTAAGCTGTCTGCTGAGTTGCTTTTCTTTATTATATTATCTACATCACGTCCTCTCTTACTGCTCCTTGACTTCTCCTGACCTACATGCTCTATCGGCGACCCGTCCCTCTGATTTGGGTGGAGTTGTCTCTATGTTTGAATGTAACCAAGGAGCATTTGCAGTGTCTGAGGTGACTGGTGAGGTATCCACACTCTCACCTCAGCTCTGTGCTCATTTGAAGAGCTGCCCCTTCTCACTGCCTGCATAGCTCGTGTTATCAGTGCCAGGGAATGAGTCTGTGTTTAATGACTGAGCCCTTATCTGGGTGGAGGAGACTTAGCGGCTAATTGCTGTGATTGCCGAGATCCCCCAGGCGAGAATGACTGCGGCTCGGAGGTGGTTTGGGGGCTGGGACTGGCGAGCACCACGTGCTCTACCACGGGCTCCGGGGAGCTGCACTGTCCTTGGGAAGAGGCCAAAGGAAAAGAAGTGAGAAGAGGGTGGAGGAGAGGGAGAGGAGGGCTCTGGTATCATAGCAGAGTCAGTTTGCGGTCAGGCCAGGCGGGATGTGTCTTGCTTCTCCATTACTGCAGCTCTACAGCACACCACTACTGGCGCCTACCGTGGGCAAAAGAGTAACGAGATTTCCCATTTAGTCAGAAGGGGGCCTAGTAAAAATAACATCCTTACTGCTTCACTGTGGTCTCGTCCTATATTCTCATTCTGCATCTTGTGTCCTTTTCATGCCTCTTATCCAAAGAAGCGCAACTGTTAACTTGCCATCCACAAAAGCACATCTTGAATGAGGCATTACTTTGCTGCTCTCTTGAAGCTGTGACTTTATTTGTCATTGCGCCTCTGGATTTTGATTTCACACTTTGTCATTTTATTCTTAGGTGGCCCATCCTCCAGGATACCCTGTCTTTACCCTACTAGCTCACCTGGCTATGTGTCTCCTGCCCTCACTGTCCCCAGCCCACAGTGTCAATCTGATGAGTAGCCTGCTGGGGGCTGCATCGTGCGGTGCCCTCTGCATTACTGTCTGCAGGTAGGCACGTGAAATATAAGTTCACTTTGTGTCGTTCCTGTGCTCTGTGATTACTGTGGTCTTACGTTAAAGAATGTGCTAAACTGAAAATAATGTCCAGACAGAGCATTTTAAGTGGTGCAGCTCTCTGATAATGTTAGGTCACAAAATTGCACTTGTCAAACTTAGATTTCAGGAAATCACATAGAAGCCTCCTCCCTTCAGCCAAGGAATCTGACAGCAGCCATTTAGTAACAAACTATACATGTGCATCAATCTGTACAGCAAAAGTCAAACATCCGAAGGAAGTAACAATGAAAAGAAGACGTTTTTTGAGTGGAGGGGGTCTTCAAACATTCCCTCACTGATGTTTTGCATCTTGATGCTGTCTGGAACAGAGAGTGGTATTTTTGGGTCCTGACAGACTGGCAGTGTCGTCCCTGATCCTCTGTTCAGTATTCAGGAGCAGAGCCCAGCCGCACTCCTCCCTCCCACCGCCCTGCCCTGCCTGTTTACCCATCAGCCACCCGTTGTGAGCGTGCGTGTGTGTGTATGTATATCACAATTATCGCGCCCTCCAACCCCCACCCTGACGTCCCTGTTCTCCTGCCCCCCCACTGCCCAGCATGCTCTCAATCCTGACATGGCACGATTTCTTATCTCCCCCCTTCTTGCCTCCTGGGTCTGAGAGGAACAGGATCACTAACTCTGCTCCTCCCTCTCCCCTCTCTTCAACCATCTCTCCCCACGCTCAGTCATGAGCACAGTTTACGGTCTCTGCATTGCCATCTACCACCCTGCAGTTTCGCCTGCTGCTGACCCTATCATGTAAGGAGTATTTTACCCCTTCCCTCTTTGTGTGTGTGTTTATCTCCTGTGGTTGGCCGCACTACCTTACATCACCCTTTTGCTGATCTTAGTAATTTTCCACATTGCATTGTTGGTGGCAGCTTAGTGTCGACATTTTTCCTTTTTGTCACTGTTTGTGCATACTGGGGCATTTCCAAGCATGTCATATACTTCTAATTTACTCATCCAGAATAGGAATTGTTGAATATGATGTAATTTCTTCCTGCTGTACACCTTGGCAGGCTGTGAGGGACCCAGTGATAGTAGAGGGAAAAGCAGGTGAAAATGGATTTTTGTGTGCTCCCAGGTGCTCAGCACTGGGCTTACTTCCTGTGTGCTTGGCCAGTGTGTGCTAGGTGGCAGGTGGTCTGGAGTAGGTCAGGGTACAGGGTCAGCCCTGCTGCAGAAGGGCAGGGGCTTGGGAGGAAGTGCTACTTAGGGGACTGGCCCTAAGCCCAGACTGCATCAGTCTTACACCCTGCCTCGCCTTACTGTTTCTCAGAGGTGAATCAGAACTTGCCAGTTTCAGCCAATCTTCCCAGGACAGGACAGGAAAGGAATAAGGACAGGACAGCAAGAAAGAGAAGGAAACACTGCTTCTTTTTTGGGGCTTTTTGGCTTTGTAACCGTACTGCCCCCCCTAGTCTTAATACATTTGATGAGTTACCAGTCAATTGGAGGATTGGACTCTGTTCTTGGCCAGACATTTACAGACAGTTATTTTGGGGCCAGAAAATATCCATGCAGTCTGGGTGATATTTGGCTCACAGTGTGTGCATGTTAACTGTAGCCCTGTTTGTAATCTCTGGGGATTTAGATCCAATTTTGGATTATGGTCAAGTGAAAAGTCATTATGAGGACCTCCAACCCCACCCACTCCCCAACAAGGGATGATGGGTAGTGAGGACTCCAGCCAGAGCACACAGTCACACCATATAAGCTCTTAAGTATGAACATATAATCTATGCTTTCAATTTGAAAAATAAGCATAAAAGGTTTTAGTCATTATCTGCTCAGGGCCTAGTTTGGGATGAGCTTGTGGCTGTGAATCAGCTGGCAGACTCTGCCTGGTGAGGGGTTACCAGAGAGGGCAAAAGATGAAGAGGGTGAAGGGTGGGGGCGGGGGGTGTTTCCGGATGGTCAAGACCTCCATCTCGGTTCTGGCACGGAGGGCGTTGGGTGCTTTGACCATACTAAGACGACTGGCATAGATGTCATGCCACATCCCTGCAGGGATTCTCTGGCCAGGCCTTTCCCTCAGATGAAATGCCAAAACTGACCAGTTGACACCCGTTCATACCTGCTCTGTCCTTGCAGAGACGCCAGTTTGCTGTGTCTTCTCCCAACATAATTAACTTCTGAGATGCATTTTGTTGTTTTTGTTCCTTTGTGGCCCTTATAAAGTTTTTCACTACTTCTTATTTTTGGGTTTGCATCAGCTGAGAAGTAGACTTTCCCCCTCCCCAAACAAATCATCACTTTGTGTGATTATTTTCAGATGGCAAAATGTATTGAAGTTAATACGGGTACTTGAAGGCAGTTTCTCTCAAATAGTAAATTGTAAGACCTTGAAATTCATCTGGAGTATACCCAACATGGCAAGCCTTTGATGTATCAATTTAAATTAGTCGGCCAGATTGCCGTGTTTAATGTGGGGGAATGTAAGTTGATAGGCTTGGAAGCCACTTCTCTCTCTTGCATAAGTTTAAATGTAGCACTTAGCCTCCCTTTGATTTGTCAATTACAGTTCTCTTGGCTTGATCATATGGTTTGATGGCCAAATTGCATGTCTTGTTATGTTTTCACACCATGCCCTGACAAGCCTTTGAGGATGGTGGACGTAATGATAATTACTATCGATTGCACTCGGAGGTTCACAGAAAGAAACATTTTGCCTGTGGAATGCTAAAGGCCTCCTCAGCCCTGAGTCTCTAGAGGAATGCACCCTTCATAGCAGGATAATCCAGACAGCTCGGTATTCTGTGCTCTCTCGTTTCACAGTTTATCTGCTAAAGCTGCTCTGAATCTCTGCTACCTGGGAGGAATCTCTCTCCATTCCTGAGCTTATCCTGAGAAACCAGGAGCAGACACGTTAGCGTGCTGACAGCCATCAGAGCAGAAAAACAACCTCGCAACGCTCAGTCATCAGCACTTTTTTGGTTTGATCACATGATTACATAACAGGGCTGTTGAAGCGCAGCAAACGTGCACGGCCTCCCCTTTCCCTGGCGGCCCTCGAAACAAAATGCACACCTGCGAGAGGCTCCCCCGCCAAGAACTGGCCCATGTGGCACAGCTGATACCTCAGTGGACCTGAGAATGGGCGTGGTGCCATCCCCTGCCTTGTGCTGCGTCCCCAGCTCCTTATAAGGACCTTCACCATATGGTCCTGATGGCACCTTCCCTCCTCACTCAGGTGGGTTGTTTTTCCACAGGGGTGGGGTTGCGTGTGTCTTGTCAGGGTCATGTCAGGAGCAGTGTGTGGGGATCGTGTTTTGCAGCTATTTGCATAGTTTTGTTGTGAGTGTGAGTTGCGGTGGCTCGGAAACAGCTGAATAGAGTTGTTTTGTTGGATAATGTACTCACGTCTCCCTGCAGGTGGCAAAGCTGCCCCTCTGTCTCACATCTGCTATGGTCGGATAAAATCTTCATTCCAAGTGGCTATAGAGAATACACCCATTCCTATTTTCCTCTGAGAATGCAGAGGACAATTTTAGGTTTGTCTGTTTAAAAGGCCTCAATCTCTAGACCTTTTGTTCCATTTCTGCAGTATCTCATCCGTCATATTGTAGTCCAACAGACCTCCTTTACTCCCCCCATCCTCAGCATGACCAATGGTTCCCCCAGGACTCATCCTCTAATACAGTTAAACAGATGTCTAATGAAGATGTTATTTCCTCATTACTGGCTATGGGATGGGGATAGAGAGGAGGAGGGAGGAGGGCTAGATAGACAGCAGAATACAGTACCAGTTTAATATTCCTTTCGCCCGTGGGCCCGAGATTGTGTCTGCCTCGGACGTCAATATTACATTCCTCACCCACCACAGGCAGTCTTATTAAGGCACCAGGCACGGAGACGGATCAGACTCGGCAATTACAATTCACCCAGAATTAGTTAATGGAATCTATACAGCAACATTTATGTATCACTGGTGTGTGCCTAATGACTTTGTTGGAAAAGGCAGCAATAAAAATGGCATTCAGTGAATTGCATAAACATAGGGTTTTTGTAAATTGTTTTTTTTTTCTCCTCTTCCTGTAATTTTTGTGTGTTGGGTGGAGATTAAGATGGCATTCTGGAAGAAATTGTCATGTCAGTGGCTGCATTGTTTGAGCAGAATTGTGGTGATTAATTTTACACGCACTCGGAGCACTGGAGCGCTCTCCTGGAGGAGGGGTGTCTGAGCAGCAGCACCGGGACCCTTATTTACCCTCCTCTCTGTTCGAGCAGACAGCCTCCTCTTCATACACCGGAATGAGGCAGGGAAGACAGGGAAGTGCCTGGTTTGGTGACTGGTTGGAAATTAGGCTGTGGCATCCCAGATTCCAATATACTGTTTTGAAAGTCAGCTATAAAAAAGGATTAGGGCTGAGCAATACTGAAGGAATGAAATAACATGTATTATTTTTACCTCAACATTAATAATGTGAAATTTTGGTGATGACTGTTGGTTCTTTTGTAACATAATTTCACATAAAAAACAAATAAGGAGAAGCATTTACTGGGTATCTAGTTTAAAATAGAATTTAATTATGTCAATAATATGTCTTTAAAACAGCTGGGTTGTATGGCTAAAATCAATATCATGATATCAATGATGATGATATCAATAAGTATCATGATATGGCAAATTCATGTCAGTGCAATTAATGATGTGATACTGTCATGCTCTTCACAATTAAAACACTGATAACGTGTTAGATGTTAGTCTTTAATTACAGTTTACTTGAAATCATTTATTTAAAGGAGCACTCCAGTGATTTAGTCTTGCACTTCCATAAAGTTAGGAGACTTACAAGAGATGAATTTTGAATAAGAAGAGTCAAAAGCAACAGAGGCCAAAAATATCCTGTCATTTAGTGTCAAGCACCTGTAACACTGGATCCCACATTTCCTATAATGCAACTCAGTGGCATCTTTCATTAAACTCTCCCAGCCTGGTAAGCGTCCATATCTTTTCATGTCTGTGCCCCAGTTTGCAAAACAGGCTTTCTGCTAAAAATCCCAAACCAAAAGAACCCAGATGATGTCATTTTTAACATTGGAAAGCTCCTACATAGCCACAGAAGATATTAGCTGTCTCTAAAATCAGTAGTAGGCTAAAACAGTATGTGGAATTTTTTATTATCTCTGAAACCAACAGTATGTGAATTACATACTATTTCTGATGAAATATTATAGTATAACACTGACACTACGCTGGAGTAATTATCCCACAATTCAAAGCACTAGTGGACAACGTTCATAATGGACAATGACCAAGACATCTCTGTAATGTCAACAAAGACCCAATTTAAGTGTAAGTATGTAAGAAGTTTAAGATGTCACTTCACTTGGTATAATAATATAGTTTTAAAATTATGTTTCAATTACTGGTAGAGCTGAGGTTGGCACATGTTACCATGGTTACGCGTCTCCACCCGGCAAGAAGGCTCTGATGAAGTGACATGGAAATTACAGCTCTCTGTGTCTGCAAAGATGCATGCTTTTTTTAGGTCCACGAAAGTACATTGAATGATATTATACACATGGGGTATGTAGTGCAAATTATGTGATTTTGGATGCAGTCATGATACATTCACACGCTAACAAGCACTCTGTTTGTCAAGTAAATGTAACTAGATGTGTGTGTTGGTTAGACAAAAACACATTTTTAAAAATGATAACATGAGTCCATACACTGGCTGACCTTAAAATACTTTTTGGTGTTTTAAATAGCATTTGTTTTCCTGACATATATACGTATTGTATCATTTCAAAGCCTATATTTGTACATCAGTCGCTGCTTGGCTTTGAAATTTCAATGCAGTGCATCAGACACTTACCACTGTCATATAATAGCTACTAAGTACCCTGCCTGGTGTCCTGGCCAGAGGAGAGCCCTGGGGTGTCAGCGAGGGCCAGCTGGAAACCTCCGCCTCAGCCCAAGCAGGCCACCTCCTCTCTCGGGCTCTCTACCCTCTTCAGGAATGTGTGATTGTTTTCCAGCGCTGCTTCCCCAAACCACCACTTGGTTAGAGAACAGTGCAGCACTGATCCGCGATGGCACAGCTGTGGTATTGTCTGTTCCCCGGGGTGGTGTGCGACAGTGGCTCCCTTGGCCAGCTCCATTGTGAAGCCTCATTCAGCGCAGAGTGCTGGTGTAGGCTTTTTTGTGTGCTGTTATTTAGCACAGGCGACTGGTGCTGGCATGTCTCTGGTCCGTACTGTAGAACTGAGGGAGTAAATGAGGCAGGTCCCATTTTGACACTTCAAAGTGATTATATTGAGCTTTTGTTGTGTCCTTGAAGGGGGCATCGCTTACCAGAGCCTGTTGTATCATTGTCATTCATTAGTTTTTATTTACCTTTGATCTTTTTGTTTGAACCTGTCTTCAGGACAATTTTATACTAAATATTTTCTAATTTTTTTCTATTTCAGCATTTTCATTCCTTATGTGTGATTTTTAGCAAAAAAAAAAAGTTGAATTAATGGTAATTTTCTTTCTATCCATGTACATTATTACCAAGTTTGTGCTTCATTCCAGACTTCATGCATAATATTTGTCATTCAGTTAATTACCCAAGTGATGACACAGACATTTTGGCAGGGTGGATCAGTGCAGGGTAAAATAGTCTCGTTGTCAGCCGTGTTATTCTCCTGCCACGTCTCAACCAGGCCATTGTCACTGAGCCACAACATTTCAGCACAGCAGCATCCCTGCACCGCATTGAGTCATGATAACAGGGAACACGGCCACACTGGTGTCAGAATGTGTCCTGCTTTATCTGCACGCCCTGGGAGCAGCCAGCCCGGAGAATGAGCTGTGGAGAGGCTTGAGAGGCTGACTGGGACCCAGGTGGTCCTGCGCAGACAGACAGGTCATTTACAGCCCACACTGTACACACATCACTGGGCTCTTACGGACTGACAAGCTCTAACAGAGAGATTTGTCAGGCACTTGGGGAGAATAAAGAAGTTGAAGAACAGGAATGTGTGTGTGTGCATGTTTGTGTGTGTGTCTCTGAATATGTGACGAGTGCTGCCTGACTATCAGGCGAGGCTTCAGAAGCAGGGACACACTCGGTGTAATAACCTCGTCCGTGGACCCCCATGACTGCGCTGCACCCAGTGCTGCCCCGAAATGAGCCGCCCTGCTAGGTGTATGAGCTATGGGTTAATTGTCATGCAGGGAGGTAAAATTATGGGTGCGGGGGGTCTCTGCACCTCAACAAAAGTCCCCATCTGCCCCCCTCCACCCCATCCTCCTTCATCCTTCCTTCAAGTTACAACTAATTCCTGGAGCGGTGCAGCGAGAAAGACGCTGCTATCTCTTATTAAGACCCACTCCTAGACGCCCCATCAACACAGTCCACCCCCCCCCCCCCCCCCCCCCCCCCCCCCCCCCCCCCCCCCCCCCCCCCCCCCCCCCCCCCCCCCCCCCCCCCTTTAAGTGCGCGCACACACACACACACACACTCATTCACCAAGCTCGCCTTACAGTGAACACAGAGGAAAAATAGTGGAGAGAAGGAGAGAGAAAGCCCAAGAAAAAAGGGGAAGTAGTCAGCAAGCAAGAGTTTTTTTTCTACCCTGCTCTCGCTCTCCCTCTCCTTTTTTTCCTGATTTACCGCGCTTTCCTCAGAAAGCTCCATTGTTCCCCTAGCCTAAGTCTCATCAGGCCTTTTGTGGCTGACTATCACAGCGGCAGGCAGAGAGCTGGAAATGTATAAATGGTATCATGCCTTGTGATTAATGGCGGTGCTTATGAGTCAGGTCTGATAACGGGCCTGCTCTCTACTCAATTTCAGATACCGTTAATGGAATCTGTCTTCTGCGATTGTAATGTGAGAGCGCCTAATTTGCTATGGAGCTTGAAGCTGTCACCGGCAAGGGATTGTGGGGTCATAAGGGACCTGGCAGCCGTTTGGCCTGCAGCTTGTATCTGCGGTGCTGAATAGAGCAGCTCTCTGCCTGTCAGTTAGCTGATAGGCTGATGAGGACTCTAAGCCACTCCACACAATGGCGGAAAGGGCCATACTGCCTGACTTCCCTAATTGTCGAGCCTGCTCATATTTCAGAGCCAGCATGCCGGGGACTGGGCTGCTTTTTTTTTCTCCTTTCTCTTTTTTCCCCTCTCTCTTCTTGAACTTTTTTCTTCCCTTTTCTATATTTCATCCTTTATCCCGCACACTGTCTCACCCCTTTAACGCACACTTCTCTGCACTATTTTTCTTTTCTTTCCCTTCTCCCCATCATTTGTCGCCTCTCTCTCTCCCCCTCTGTCTCTCATTTTAGTAAGTGGTGGGTCTTAGCGTATGACAGATTATCCCAAGTTTGCTTCAATTACCGCAAAGGAGATGGAGACAGTACAGGAGAGGAGGAAGGGGAAAAACTTTTGTGCACACATTATATTTAAGAAGCTGAGGATAAAGTGCTATCTCTACCACGGTGGTTTCTGTGCCAGTCTGCTCGAGATCAACCGGCTGCCGGGGAGGGAGTTCTCATGATATGTGAATGGCCCAGTTTACTGGGTGTTTTTCAAGGTCTTGTCCGAGAAGCAAACTTGGGTCGAGGGAAGATTATAATGGGTCCCCAAATTAGTCTGGGGGGCAGTTGTGGCTTTCAAAATTTTAATTTCGTGTGAAGCTGCTGACTTTGTTGTTCTCCCTTTTTTCTGACACTTCAGTAAAACTTAGATCAAATAAAATAAGTGAACGAAAAGTAAGGCTAGGATCAGTGTATTTAAATATTAGCCTGTCTGATTACTGAATTTTGTTAGATCCAGGTACTGTACGTGATTCAAAATACATCTAAGATATTCTTGGGTGTGTGTGGCAAGTCCCAGATCTTTCTAAAGTTGTGTATAATGAAGACCTCTCCTCCCTCACCATCAGGTTGGTAGGCCCCGGCCCCGGAGCAGTACTTGCCGGGGGCGTGTTTGCTGTGTCCAGGCTGAGCTGGCAGTGGTCCATGGTGGCAGAGGTCTTCACCCTCAACAATCTTTTCACTGGTCTGCTCTTCTTCTTGACTGCCAGCTTCCACTGTGCTGAAAACACCACCCAGAGAGTGAAGGTAACTCAGTGCAACCCTCATCGGGGGCCTGTGTCTTTAAGTTTCCTGTGATCATTCCTTAGATAACTTCAAATTGGACTCAGTGCTGTGCTCAAATGCTTGACCTTGTCAGATTGCACACTGGGGAGCGCTGTGCTGCGGTTTGGGGCTCTGTAACCAGCACACCCTGGTGCTTTATGTGCTGGTCATCATTCCCTGGGTCCTTCACCGTCTTTACTCCCTCAGGGTAAGTTCTGGGGTTTTATTTATAGAAGCTTACATAGAACAGATTTGAAATGTGTGTTTAAGAAACCCCAAGACAAGTAAGGAAAGTAGGCCTTGTTTCTATTCTATATACACTGCAGACACTTGCCATATCGATATTAAAAATCAAGTCATGTGTAATAACAAAATTGAGCTTCTTGGGATGCGTTTAATTTTGCTTCCATATTTATATTAAAAAACTGAGAGCATCACTCTCCAAACAATCCCGACAGGAGCTGTCTTTGCGTGGCCTGGTGTCTCTGGGAGTGTGTTTCCTCGCTGGCTTTCTGCCATACATCTACCTGCCCATCTCCTCCTACTTGAACACAGCCCGCTGGAGCTGGGGGGATCAGACCACCCTGTCAGGCCTGCTGACCCACCTGCTGAGGGCTGAATATGGCACCTTCAGTCTGGTACTTCCTGCTAAACTAACACACTACTCTAAGTGGTTTTTCTCATGTGCCAGTTGTTGGTATATTTGCTCTGGTGACATTTTTTTATCTTGTATTTCAGTGGTTTTCATTTTAGTTCTAACGTTTTACACCCAAAGATAAAAAGGTAGCACACAGACATTCAGGACAAAGCTGACTAATCTCAAATTGACCAGTTTATTCTGGCCATGTCAAACAAACACGCTGATGTTTCGACCTAGTTGCTTTCATCAGAGCATCAGGTTTTAATTGTATTCTTTTTGTGTTTGCAGGCAAAGATGGAGAGCTCTGTCAACCTGACATTGATGCTAAAGTGAGTCTGCTTGGCCTTTTTTCAGCTTTTTGTCTTTTGTCTTTCTGCTAAATTGTCCACATGATTTAAATACTAAATGCAGCCATTTATTATGTATTTTGAATTAAATTGAACAGGATTCCTGGGATGGTAGTGACACTGTTTAAAAATGGGGATAAAGGGTCATTCACGCCAAGAACAATTACTATAACAATAACGATGTGAGCATCCACGCTAACGAAACAGTGGCATCAAGAACACGCTGTGCGCTCCAGCTGTTCTACAGCCCAGGAAGATGGTTAATGATAGTGTTTATTTTTAATGAACCATAAAATTGATCCTAACGATATCATTCTCCACTGCCGTCATTATAGTTGTAGTGTGGACTCCACCATCCACTTAAGTTAGAACAATTCTTTTAAAACAATATACTGTCATAGTTGTCATTCTTGGTATGGACACCCTTGACCGTGCACATCTTCAGACAGCCTCTCCTGGAATGCTCATGGCATGAGGTGGGTGTGAAAATCAGATCAATGGTTCTAGAAAGTTACGGAAATAGTATTCGACCATCCCATGAACAGTAATCACGTAGTGTTCTTATACTATCTTATCGGTTGTCTTTACAACCTTTGTGTTCTGTTCCTACTTAAGGCCCAAATGCACTGAATGTGATAATCAGTGCACCTCATTTGAAACATGTCAACTAATGCTCCTATGGCGCACTGCAGGCATCAGATTTGACATGCCAACACCACAGAACTATCAGCATTTTAGTAAAAGGTTGCAATTTAAGCAAAAATTTTGTATATTAGAGAAACCTTATCTCTACATCTCTTTACATTTCTATTTGAGTAATGTAATATGAAGTTCCAGCACCACAGAACCAACAGTATTTTGGGAAAAGGTCACTATTTGACTGTAGGCAGGCACAAGTTTATATGCTTAACATATATCCCTATTAATTTAAACATAGGGCAGGTGGGCAAGTGTTGGGTGCATGTTGCTGCGTAAGTTGGTTGGCAGTAGAACACTAGTAAAGCTACTTGGGACCAGCCTTCTCATCAGACACTGCAGCTGCAGAAAAAAACACCTTTGGTTGCTGGGTCCTCATTTCATGTTACAAAATTGAGAGTAGGGGTGTCAAAGCAGTTTGACATATCTCATAATGCCTCAAACTAAAGGTGTACTTCAAATGTGGGTCAGATGCTTTCAGTGTGGTTAGGCCTTCAGATGGAGTGAGAAAACAAACAATAGAGAAAACTGATTTGATCTGAGGCACAGTGAGGGCACACGTGGTTCTACAAACGAAGGACCCAACCACTTTTTGCGCCGGTTGCGGTGTTTTACACAGGTTTAACCAGAGGCACTCCAATCTGTTCTGAGAGCCCAGAGTCATTTCTGCAGCCCATCTCTCTCTCAGTCTCTCTCCTCCCCAGCAGCTTTTGTTCTTCCCATTCCACTCTCTCCCATCAAAGCAGAACTGAACCTGCTTAGAGGGCCAAATCGCTGTGTTCTGTTTCTCCAGCAGTTTGAAATGATCACTCAGCTCTGGTGTTTAAGCGTGACAAGCTGTGATGACAGACACTGCAATAGAGCTGGAGAAATTGTATTTTTCCACTCCAGCAAACCCCCCCTCCCCACCTCCTCCACCCGATCCCCCTCCCCTGCTCCCCGCTACCACCACTGCCACCACCACCGCAGTCATCCCACTCCTGGTATCTTTCTCCAGCTGACGGGATGGGGGTGCATGTGCGTCTTAAGACCCCCCACTACCAGCCCCCCCTCTGCCAGGCACCCACCCCTTTCCATCACCCCTGCTGCTTGATGGACAAGCACACCTTCAAGATGGGGAAGAGAGTCGAACATGACAGGCATATCGCACTGGAGACGTAAACCCGCTGGAGAAGCTGACACACACACCCACAAACACACGCTCGTGAGCACATTCACACATAGTGTACATTGGGAGATATAGAGACTCAATAAGCTGTCAAATAGAGATGGGTATTAAGGAAGAGGCAGGAAACTATCTCTCTGCTCTGAGCAAGCGCTCTGTGACTGACAGGCACTGTGAGGAGAGGATGGGGCAGCAGGGGGTGGATGACACAGTCATTCGTATCTGTCAATCCGATTGAAAGGAGGAACGCACAGTCCAAGGAGTTTGTTTTGATAGGGGATGGAGGGCATTTAATAATTGGTGTCCTTGAGTTCAGTAGCAGGGAGGGTAATTGAGCTTGTCTTTGGTGTCCATCATATATCTAATATGTGTGTTTGTGTGTGTGTGCAGGGCCCAGTTGGACCACTGCCTGCAAGACCTTTCGCTTCCTGTTCTGCTGCTGGCAGGAATAGGCCTTCTTCTCTCCTCATGGGACAGGTAGGATGAGCGAAACGGCGGCATACAAAACACCAAACTCTGTCACACACATCTCAGCAGCCACTTCAACCAAAAACCTAATCCCCTGGAGTAAAAGACAGGGAACAAAACCACTGACAAAATGCTGATCTTAGAAAAAGAGAATACAAAAAAACACTGAGGCACCTAACTGTCAAGCTGTCGCAACGCTCCACATTCAAATCAAGAGAGGTTGATGTGTATTTTGGATTTTCAAAAACATGTTTGTGTGGACGAGTAAATCGCTGCTTGTATGTATCTGTATGTGGCAGTGTGGCGTTGTGATCCAGTAATTCATTACAGCAGTGGCTTTTCTAGGGTCTGTGGGGTGGAGCTGATAAAGCCTAGCGAAGCCCTGGGGCTCTGTGGTGCACCGGCCAGCCACCCCCTGCTTCCCCTCTCCTGGGGTGCACTTTGATAAACTTGGCTGCATACACACACAGATGAAAAAGAGCAAGGTCATTTCATAGGATGCCAAAAGGAAGCCATGCAAATGCTGATTTACCTAATGTTGAAATGTGGAGTGAAACTGTTTGTATGTAAAAACACAACAACCCTTATTTACTAAAAAATCAGCATTTACTTTCCTTAACTGATTCTGCATAAAGTTAAGAAAAAACAAAATCAAGAATCTAGACCGTATGTATCAGTGACCAGTCAGCAGAGCCCATCAGATCAATTTGTTGGAAACCAAAAGTCATTTTCTCGGGCTTGAAAGTGTCTCTTCAGGTTCAGATGATGATTTGTTATTGCCATGAGGCTAACGTGTTTTCTTTTTTGTGCATAAGTACATTTTACAGCTGTACTGTAATGAGTTTGTGATTCAGCGGTTGGCACCAGCTCATTATGACTCAGTCTGCATTAGAAAATCAATCATGCACCTCTTAGCTGGCTGGCGTATACATTTGCTCTCGGGCTTGTGATCTCCATCCCTGCATTAATGTTTTTATGGACTTATTCAAAACAAGAATATTTTGGAAGAGTAAACAGACAAAATAATACATTAGATATGTGGAAATTGCAGTCCAGGAGTGTATAGAACAATATTCATGTGTGATAATAAAATTAGAAAATATTTGTATACTGAACAGGGTTCCTGTGGATCCTTAAAAAGTCTTAAATGCTGTTGAATTTATTAATTAAAAATGCCTTAATTGGTATTATAATTTCTAAAAGCAATCTTTCAAATGGTTTAAATATGCTAAGACGCAGGAAGTAGGATTTTATGAGTATTTTTTTACTTTGCATTGTAAAATCGCAAAATAATTGGTAACTTCTATTTTAAAAAAAATAATATACTGACTGCCTCTCACATTAACACACTGAGATCAGGATAGTGGAATCAACAATGCTTATATTTTGTTTCTGGATAGGATACTCAGAGCAGAGGATCCACTGTCTGCTAGCTAACTGTCACTGTTCTGTTGATGATATGGGAAAGTGAAAATTCCATGAAAATTTGCTGTTTAACCAAGATTTCATGCCCCAAAAAACTTGCCAACAAATGTCAGGTATTTCCCACTTCTGTCCTACCCTTGTCAGCACCACAAGACAAAAAAGTGACATTTAAAGTTATAATAAACATTCTTTTGTTTTTTTGTAACTGCTTATCCTGTTGGGGGTCGCTGGGGTGCTGGAGCCTATCCCAGCTGATGTTGGACGAGAGGTGGGGTACACCCTGGATATGTCGCCAGACTATCACAGGGCTGACACATAGAGACAGACAACCATTCACACTCACATTCACACTTAAATTCACACCTACGGCTAATTTAGAGTCACCAGTTAACCTGCATGTCTTTGGACTGTCGGAGGAAGCAGGAGTACCTGGAGAAAACCCACGCTGACACGGGGAGAACATGCAAACTCCACAGATGGGCTACGCCTCCCTGGAGTAGAACCAGGGACCCTCTTGCTGTGAGGTGACAGTGCTAACCACTGCACCACCATGCAACCCTGTCATAATAAACATTGGGACAAAATTGTCCATAACCCTAAGATAATTTTAATTTTTCCTTCTATTTTGATTATTGTAAAATTGATCCTAAATTTCATGGCAAGTGGCATTAAAAGTTTTAAAAACATCTAAAAACTAACCACAAGCTGCAGGAACACTGTTCAATAACCAGTGGCGTTCCCTATGTTAGGACGTGTCGCTCAGTGTCCTGGCTGCTGACTGCCATGCTGCTGGTCTACTCACTGTTTTTTGCCTGGAGAGCCAACTTGGACATCAGCAGACCCCTTCTGCTTGGAGTGGTGAGCTATGACACTTAAACCCATTTTGACATTCTCATTAAAAGCCAAAATGCTTCTGTTGTTTTCATTCCCTTAAAGTGGTCTAAAATGTGTGCTATACATTGATTTACAATGCAGTTTTCAGCATATAAGAAATCTATATACAGTAGGCAGCACACACATCTTGGAGTTAAAGCACTGAAACAGCAGTATATATGGTGCAGATCCTGGAATAGGTACATTAGTAACCCCAGGACTGAACTAAAAAAAACTACAGCAAACACTGACATGTGTGTGTGTGTGTGTGTTTTTGTCTGTATTCACCTGTACACTCACTTCCTGCAGGTTGAGCGTTTCTGGCTGCAGAGCGATGCTGCAGTGTGTGTGCTGGCAGGCCTTGGCTTGAGCCGGACACACACTGAGCTGGAGAGGAGACTGGGCCGTGGGGGGGTGTGGAAGACCACAGGCTGGGTCCTCACCATGGCTCTGCTGGCACATATGGTGCGCACCAATCACAGGTGAGCATTGCACTCAGTTACAGTAATAAACTTCCTGATGGGTGTGATGAAAACATGCACCGTAGTCCACAAATATCTGAACAGTGTTTTGATATGTTTTCCATTCTTTGGGTAAAACACATGGGGTTTGAAATCAAACAATGACTATAAAGCCCCTTCCCACAGCACAAAACCACCACAAACACCTGCTAACATCTGGCTCTTTGATGCAATGGGAAAGATTTTAATCAGCACTCACACCCGTGTAAATGACTCTGTGTAGTCACAAGTATTTATTGTCTCTGGCTCTGATCAGCATTAATGGGAACACAACACCCGGGTAAATGTTCTAATTTTAGCTCCTTTACCAGCAAGATGCAATGACGCGCCGCCACAAATTACCGTCTGTCTCTGCCCAGGCAGCACTTAACCATCGATCCAAATTAGTGTACACCAAGTTTGACAGAGAGACTGAATTAGTAAGAGATCTGAGAAAAAGAAATAACCATCATAAAGTTTTCACAGGCCTCCATGCTTCTCTCTACTGTCTCTACCTGTTCTCCGGCCTATCCATAATGTCGAACATGACACACCAAAAGAAAAACAAACCCACTCACAGAAAGGCATGTTCGTCTGCTGCAGAGCTGTGCACACAGCTCTGGTCTACTGGCAAAGGAAAAGGAATAGGAATACCCATGTTTAAAAAACGACGCTTGTCACACCACAGAAAAATGTGTCATTAACCACGCAGCCAAAATGCCAAGTATATAAAGTTCGTTTTAAAAATAATGCAAAAATGAGCAGTATTCTCGGCTCTGAAATGCTGGGGGTGTGTCTGACAGGCTCTCTCTTTCTCTCAAACACACACGCACACACACACACACACACACACACACACACACACACTTTTGCAGATTGGTTCTCATATGGTTTACATGAGTGTATAAATACAGGATAGAATACACACACACAGTTGGTGTTGACGATAGCTAATAGCTAGCTAGCAAACTGTAGGCTGCAGGAAGTAAGTGTTGTAAGTCGCGATTGAACGGGAGAACCACTGATGCTCTAGTGTTGATATAGTAGTGTAGATGAGTGGTTATGATAAGGATGGCTCCAGTGCATAATTGAGCCATGATTTCAGTCCTTCGTGAAAAATCCTGAACACAAAAATGGTGAACTCTGTTTAGCAGTCTTACTCCACAATTCAGCACTCTATAGTCCCCAGTCTTTTCACATGTTTTCAGCGATTATTTCTCACAGGTGAAACCTTTGGTGTTAACCTTTGGGTTAGGACTCAGTGTAGGACTCATAGTTCGTTTTGTCCTTGGGTTGTTATATTTCAATAGAGCCCATCCCAAAAAGCAGCTGCCATAAGAGTCTTTACTTTGTTGGGGTTAAGACATAAAGACAGTTTGCAACATACACTTTAGAGACCATTATAAAATCAAATTCTACACCTGCAAAAATGAGATCACAGTATGGCTGTGAACTTGACAGAAAATACACACAAAATGATGAAAAGAAAATGTTACTCATAATTGTAGTTGCATTGTATCGTACTTCTACAGGCTATTAGTGACTAAGTTTCTCTTGGTTGTTCTGACATCAAAAAGCACTCTGTATAATCTCTGTGAATTAATCTGTGGATTCAATTTTACTTTATAATATCCCTGTTGTAGTAACTACGCTAAAACCAAATGTGCCCTAAGTTACTTTTTAAAATTCTTCTGTTTGGTAAAGTTAAAGTGAAATAAAAACTCCCCTCTCATTCTAGTTCCTTCTAAAATCCCCATGCATAAGTTTTCCCTGAGTCAACCTGATTTGTTTCTCCTCTGCGCTTCATACCGCAGGTCTGAACTCCACATGTCAGGTTTTTCTCTGCTCACCCCATGGTAGGGGCTAAAGAGAGGCACGGTTAGCACATAGATTCCACTCACAGAGCTCAGTCTGAGATGTTAGCTGTCCGAGAAGGAAGATTACACCAGCGTAGTGCTGGGGAGTGCCAGACAGCCATCACTGAGCGGCTTTGATCAAGGGGAGAGCATGGCCTGTGCTGTCAGACCCATCACACCTGTCTCCCCACGATTAGATAGGCAGCCAGAGCGCTCTGCAGAGGGGATGGGGCGGGGGCACTGACAACTTACCCTCAGAGCACCTTGAAAGCGTACCTACAAACACTCACATACACACGGATGTACACATCACACACACTTCTAAGCGCGAGTAAGGATGCGCTCAACACCCTTTTTAAATTCAAGTAAACACAAGTTGTGTTTTGATGATATTATAAAGTGTGATGGTGTATGTGCTGATAATCTCAAGGGAGTGCGATCAGAGCAGGAACAGTGTGGTCGAGAGGTTCGGCAGGGAGCTTCTGGCCTCCGTCCCAACAGATTCAATCATCCTGACCAGAGGAGATCTGCCTGGAAACTCCATGCGCTACTTATACTACTGCCAGGGTGTACGGCCCGATGCACGTCTGGTCGACCAGGAGGTCAGAGCTTTCATTTCTCCACTCTCTTTACTGTGTTGAAGTGTTCTCATTAAAGTTTTGATATGAATCAAAAGTAAGATTTAGGGTTGCAACAAAATGAGATTTAATCATCTCAGAAAATATCCTGGTTTCACGGAATCACAGTGCACAATATTATTATGATTATTAGTATTAGTATTAGAAGTCACAGTGACCCTTAAAGGAATTAAAACAGAAGGTTTCTTTTTGGTTGAACTAATGTTTTACCATAGTTGAAACTTCAAACCATTTTTTTATGTAAGCATTTGTATAAAGTCTTAAAGGCAGCGGGGGAGGAAAGGAGGTGCTAACATGCAGGTGTCCAGTTGCATATCTTTTTCAGTACAACTGTCGGTCTTCAAAACACAGTTTAGAGTTTTACGATATATGGCTGTGACCCTAGTGGCAATTAAGTATTTTTAGGAACAGTTGAATTTCAGAACCCAAAATCAACTGAAGTAAAAGTTTCCACTGAACACAGTCCCAAATTATATACGCAGGTACAAAAATAGAATGACTCACTGGCCAACCGGAGCAAGAAATGGCAACCTCTAGCTCACCTTGTAGAATGTTAGTCCTTTGCAGCAGCTCATGTTCAATTCCAACTTGTGGCCCTTTACTAGGTGTCATTCCCCGTCTTTCTCCCCACTCTCCTGTCAATCTCCAGCTGCATTGTAAAAAAAAGGCAAAAGCCTGAAAAATAATCTTAGAAAAAGAAAGTTTGCCATTATTGTATTGTGTGAATGGTACTGATTGTCTTTCGTTGTCCTTCATGATATAAGCTGCTAAATTTGATTTCTGACACAATGCTTCAGTTTCATTTGGATGTCAAATAAGAAAGATAGAATTCAGAAAAGATGGATTTCTTTATTTTTTAAGAAAAGAAAATAAACATCTGGCAAATTATTTATGGACAAAATAGCAATGTACCTTGACTGTGTAATAACTGACTTAAAGTGATACAAGATACACAGATACAGCCTGATGTCCGTAAGTCTCTTGCAGGCTTTCTAAAGTGGGTACATTGTCAGTACATACATTGTAAGTTGGTACATCTCTTCAATGTCAAAATCATAAAGGGCATTAAGACAGCAATGTAATAAAATTGAGAAGTGAAAGCAATAGCTTTTAAACTAAACAAGAGCCCATAAAGTTATAGTATGTAGAATTTTCCAAAAACAAACAATGTATTGATCAAACAAATCAATACAGAAATAATCTCACTCAGTCATCATTTATGCCCCACTAGAAGTGTTTGGCAGTGTTTTTATCTGCAGAGGCCCTTTACTCTGCCTGTATATTATTATTTTTGTTCTTATTTTTCTGTTTTTGCAATGTTACTGGGAGTGCTGAAAACATGAAAATATAGTGAGGCAAAAAAACAGGCTGACAAAGCTCATTCCAAAACGACAGCGAATCTGGGGTTGGCTATCACATTTATTTTTGCTGGTGACTGTGTTTATTAATACTGACTAGCTTTAAGTAAGAAAAAAAAGCCCCTTTGAAATATGGAGTGAACCCCACTGAAATAGTCAATAAAGCCTTTTCTTTAAGTGGATGTAAAGTGAGTGGTAATTTAACTGCTAATCACAGAAATATAAAGAATTAAACAGAGTTGGTGTTACTCTGTCTTCTTTCTAGATGATGACTTACACTTGGTATGTGGCCAAGTTGGCGCAGCACCACCCTGGGGTGCACTTTCCCGGCCGCTGGTGGGACCCGGTCCAGCCCGAGGTGAAAGACACCTTCAGTCTGGAGCAGTTTCTGTCCCACAACACGCAGTGAGTCGCTGAGACACAGGGAGAGAGCCGAGAGAGAATGAAAGGGTGGTCTGAACAGATAAATAGAGAGTGTAAAATGGAGAGCGAGTGAATTGAGAGGGCAACAATGGTCCAAATGAACAAGTGGGTGATCTAATGAGGCAGAGATCAGTGGGATGGTCGACACAGCGGTGAGTGCAGGGAGAAGATAAGCCTATAGAACTGTTGAGGAACTACAGAAGTCGACTAATCTACTTGATTTGGTTAAACAGTCTCAGGCGGACTCGTTGCTGCTCCCTGCTCTCATCACTCACTCCTCCAAGAGGAATTGAGAGCCAGAAACTGGCTGGAGACCTGATAATACCAAGCCCACCAGGGGGCAGTGTTTGCCAGGCCAACATGCCTGTCTCTCAGTGGGGCAACACTGACCTGTGGGATTAACCCTCAGGGCCCGAGCCTTTGGTGAGCAGCACCTGGCTGGAGGGAAGCTAGAAGGTTTTGGGATGTGCGTAATGTTTGTCTGCATGGTGTTCCTGTGTGTCTCATCATCATCACCAGTTACCCGCAAGGAGAAACAGGGGTGCTTACATGGATAATAATTGAGGATGCAAGCAAGCCTCTTAACTGATTGTTTTCCTGCAGGAGGCATGTGTTTGCCTGCATCGGGCTGCCTGATGGAGACCCAAGCTGGGAACGTAGTTTCTCTCGTTGGCCAATGGGTGTGTGTGACTACTTGGTGCCTGTTCAGAGGCAGTTTGACCCTGAGAGGTGGGCCCATCGAACTCGCAACCTCTACAACTGGAGTGAGCCACACGACAGGTGCATATACAAATAAACAGAATAACTAATGCCTCCCCATAGGTGTGTGTTTAACCCCTAAACATACAGTTTTCCTTTTCCTCCTCTTAAAGCTGTAGTCGGTAACTTCTAATAAAAAAGTATCTTTTTATATATGTGTTGAAACTGTCTCTATATTCACACGTCACTAAATGAGACAAAAAAATCATATTCCTCTGCCTAGTTTATTGCCTTGTTGTGCTTCTAATTGCCTTACTGCACATGAAAATAAACAACTAATCAGTGCTGAAGAGTCTCTAAGTAGCTGCCAATCATGCCTATCAAGACTCACAACTCAAATAAGAAGCAAGACTCCATTACTGTGTTGACTATTTCTTGCCCTCTAATGTTTTTAGAAATATATTTAACTGTACTGTTCAGTTGTAGAGCTAGAAAGGTGGCGCAGTTGGTGTTTGCTGCTTAGTACTCGCCTCGACTATTTGTGGCCAGGGTACAAATGTTGTCATTTTACAGCTAAACAATACACTAAAATATGTTTCTGAGAACATTTGAGACAAAAATAGGCAATGCAGAAACAGAATCGCAATTCACATTTGATCTGCTCTGCCTAGTTTGACAGGTTGACCGCAGTCCACAAGCAGCGATTAGAGACTCCTCGGCACTGATTGTCTGTTTTTCGGTGCACTGCAGGAGATTCTAGTGAAGGCAGCAGTAGGAAGAGGAGGAGGGACATTATATTTTACACAGATTATCTGTTTCATGTACTCGTTTCAGAACATAGTGACAGTTTCAGCAAATATGACGGCAATGTGAGGCAAAAATAATCACCTTTTTCCACACTGTTGACAATAACACTGTCCCCCTGAATTGTCTTGTTCCACCTCTTCATCAAAGCTATGTGATGTTAACATGGAGTGAAATATTCAAACACAGGAGTCCATGTTGTTTACGGCAGCAGCATTCTATTAAATAGAAATATTATTTGTCTTGTGCATCATTTAATACACATTTTTCCAAAGTTCAGCCTTACATATTTGTCATCTTTGGAAACTTTGGGATCTTGACTAGAATTTAAAATCAAGTTCTGTTGGTTTAAACACTGTTAAACTCGACAGTGAGTTTGTAAAGGCTGGCCCAGATTTAAGTCAGTGATGTTTAAGGGGTTAAATTAACAATGTGATTTCCAGGACGCCTACTCAATGAATCATTTTGCATATTGTTTAAAACAGCCCATGATCTTTAGATGAAACTGGAAATATTCAGAAAGATAATGAACCCCATCTAATGAGTCCTCGCCATGTATTTCATCGCCAACACCTTCTCCACCCCCTCGTCTGTCTGTGGTCTCCTCAATGATCCTTCCGCAGACTCCACAGAGCTTCCCTCAGTGAGGTTGTCCTCTGTTCTCCATGCTGTGATCCAGCTCTTTGTGAATTCAACCAGAGCAAGACATTAGGCCCTCAGCCATCTGAAAATGAAACTGAAGATGAAAAATAATGAGTTTTTTATTGCATTTTGTCAATAACTGTGTCAAAAGTAGAATTAGTCAAAGCTCCATATTCTGTTGCTGTTGCCAGCAGCCCTTCATTCACTCAGATATCCACGACTGAATACTGTGACATTATTTCCCGCACTCTCGCGACAAGCGTGTCCGCCGATGCCCACAAGCCAAATATTAGCTCGGGAAACCTGCTAAAATATTCTTTTGAAGAAGAGGTCAAGTGTTTACAGTCAACAAAGTGAAAAAAGGGAGATGTGGTTTTACTCCATGTCTAATGTGCTAGCTGGTATTGTTGCTCAGTCATTTAATGTTTATGCAGCAAACATCGATGTTTAGTGTATCAAAACCTGCACAGTCGAGTGGAACAATATATTCACATAAATAATCATTTATAGTTAGTGGAACTGTGCACAAGCCAACGCCTGAAGCTGTTTAGATAAAGAAATGTTCTTTTTCTCCATGTGTGAACAGTTTCCATCCTGCGTCCTGGGAGCGTGTCGCTAATGAGGAGATGTGGCAAGCCAGGTACAGTGAACTTTTTTATTTATTTTTTCAACAAAAGACGCTGGTTTCCTCTTTGGAGAGGTTGTATACTTTAGTGTGCAGATAAAAAGCTGCGTCACAATGCATACCAGCCCGCTAGAACATCTCCATAAACCAGTCTTGTGTGGTAGAGCATCTACATGTACATTCTATTTGGTGGCGGCATCTACATAAATCACTCCATTGGAGTGGTGCGTCTGTGAGTGTGGATCTGCATGGCTCATCCATCCAGCACTTAGCCCTGAGCCTGCGTGCTTTGTTTCAGGATGAAGACGGCTTTCTTTCTGTTTGACCTGGCAGAAAGGATGCAGGGAGAGGGGAAAGCTCGCCTCTTTGAGCTGTCTTACACTGTGAGTCTGACCTCGACAAACATGCAACAACACCCTCATTTACCATAATGGGGCAGATTTAAGAGCCACACAAAGCAAAGTACGACATATTCAGGGGCTTTGTTGTTATTTGCCGTAACATCTGCTTTTATGTGTGTATCTCTGTGTGTATAAATGTGTGTGTTCGCTGGGCAGCTGTATAAGGAGATTGTGGAGGCCCACTCAGACTACCCTCCAAACTGGGACAAGAACTTGGCACTGGCCTGTGAGAGGCTCCTCCGCTCTGGTCACCGAGGTTACAGTCCAGACAGCCTGCTGACCTGCAGCACCCAGCACTTTAGTCTCTACTTAGAGAAGGAACCCACAGATCCCCAGGCGCCCGCCATACGCTTGGCCATTGGTCATCTGCTCAGAGAGAGAGGCGAGCTCCGTAAGAGCCGGAGGCCAACCCCATGACAAGATCCAGAGAGACCTACATGGAGCTGAGTGTACCGCGAGCCCAGCCGAAGTGCGAGGCACTGGGGACAAAGTCTGAGCCAATGTGCCTCTTCTCATGGTTTAAAGGTGGTGCTCCAGAAGGACAGAATGACGTTTAGGTAAAGTTTTGGCCAAATTGGACCTATGGGTTGGGACTTGAGAGGACTGCTGATGCGGAAGTACTGCGAGGTAGCAGGACTCTGCATAAAGGACAGACAGCTTCACTGGATGAATGTTCACAGTTGACCAGGGACAGAGCTTGACTCCAGCGAGCCTTGACTGACCCCAGTCAAACTGTGCGTGCACCCCTTAAAAACACTCATTCGATTGCTTTATCGTTACATCTCATTCCTTTTTTCCTCTCCTCTTCTGCTCTCACAGCTTTTAACGTGCTGATTATTTTGCCTCAGCCACTGCTCCACTTCTCTTTTTCTCACATTAGGATGGCAAGGCCGAGATTGAGGGAAAACCAATTTGGGGGCAGAAATGGGGGATTAGAGCGGCTGTTTAATCTAGGACAGACTTGTGCAGTGCCACACAGTCCTCACTCTGCATAACCAGCACTACCCACCCACCCACCCCTCTATCCTTCCATCAGTCTATCTTAGATGGTCCTTTAAATGTTTAAAACTAATGGATTCGATGAGTGTTTTTTTTTCCTCTCTTCCTTCCTAACGGGAGGGCTGTAATCCCTCATGGATTTAAATGAAATGTGAAATGTCACAATGCCAGGGACCCTTTTAGAGGTGCGTTTCTGTGTGTCTGTGTGTTGATTTGTGTGTTTGCATGTTGACGTGTATGTGTGTGTGTGAACACGTTTAAATCTCCACCCAAGCCTTTTCCCTGCCGGAACTGCACATAAACATAGTCGATAAACAGATCGGCACACTGAAAAGCACTTTGATCATCATACAAACACAAAGTCATGCAAACTCCAGGGACACATGTAGACACACAGGACCATCAGCCTCCCAGCTCCCAGGACTTTTAGCCCTGTGATGAGTGCTGGAGAGACAACGTAGCATGCAAACACAGCGAGTGGACCGGAGTCACTTGTCTTTGGAGTGTTCTCAGGGTCTGAAACGTCAATGCTTTTGCTGATTTTAATGAACCTCGTGGCCATAAAATTTGTTGGACAAAGTCAAACCGGTCAATTACAATAAGGTTTTGGAGGAGCTTGCTTTTTGAGACGCCACTAGAAAGCGAAGGACAGTAAGTGCATGTATAGTTTTCTCAGAATGTAATCTGCCCCCTCTGTTCGCAGGCCTGATTAGCGGCAGTCAGTTGGCTGGATGATGAGATTCGACCTGCTGTAGCACAGATGGTTTGGTTTCTCAAAAAAAAGGGAAAACTGTCACTCTGCTTTCTACAGATTCAGATATTTCAATAAAGATTCTGTTTATTTTATTACATTTCTGAGCCTTTCTTCCTGGGTAGACGAGGCCTTTCAGATCACAAGTATTGATCATATTTTTCAACCATTTTTGACCTCACTTACATATTCATGTCTTTGTGTTTACACCACATCATTTCTCTTCTCTTGTCTCATTCCCTGCTGTTATTTTTACTTTACTTTCTTCCTGTCCTTCCCTTTGTCATCCCTCTCTTGTCTCCCACCCTCTCATCCCCTCTCACCCTGTCTTTCCCTAACCCCTCTGTTCCTCTCCTCTCCCCTGTCTCTGAGAGTCAGTTGCCCACCCTAAATCAGCAAGCTGCCGAGGATTGTGGGAACCCATGGAATCGCCGTGACCAGGGATGCAGGCAGGGAGCCACGGCAACGCTGGAATGTGGGGCGTCTGAGGAGATAAGAGCTGTGAGCCCAGCCAGGGAGAGGGGAGGGATGCAGCGAGAGAGGAGAGGGGGGGGGGGGGGGGGGGGGGGGGGGGGGGGGAGGAGGAGGACAACGAGGCAGAGTGAGGAGGGTGAGACGGAAACAGGGAGAGCAGCAAGTCTGTGAATGGGGAGACAGAAACACAACACCATAAACAGCCCAGAGAGCAAGACAGAGTGAGACAGAGAAAGAGGGGCGGAGGACTTAGGGGGGCACACACTGGAGATGGGAAGCCAGCCTTATTCCTCTTTGCATTTCATTTACATCCCTGGCCGTATCGACCAATCGGATTGGGAGCAAAGCCCAGGGCTTAGGAGGGGAATAAAAAGACAAAATGCCTTTGCTGCTCTCATCCCTCCCTGATAATACCCCTTCTGTTTTTCTTTTCTCTTTTTCTCCCGTCTATAAGTAGATACTGTCCGAAATGCCAGCGGAAAAGCGACACCTCCGCTTGCTGTGTATCTCAGATAGACCGAGCGGGAGCAGGGGCTGAAAAGACAGCTTTAGCAACTGGGCCTATCTCCTCTCCTCTCCTCTCCCTGGCTGGATGGAAGCTTGGAGTGGAGGGAGGCGGAGGGCCGGGGTGTGTTGGTTAGTGTTTGGGAAGAGAATAGAGGGTGTGAGAGGCATGATATACTGAGCTGGCCGCAGATTTTGCAGAATCTTGCACTCTGAAAAACTTTGCCGGCAGATCCCTTTCCTAAGCATGAGAAACCTGTTTCAAGGATGTTTACGAGGTGCCACCCATCTTTGTGAAGGGTGCCAATGCCTTCTACCAAAGTCCACACATATTTTTAGCTTTGGATTGTTGTTATTCTTGTGCACTAAGTTGCAGGTTTATCCAGAATGGCAACTCTTGTCACTTGGTTGACCGCAGCGTCTTAGATATCAGATTGTCATCATGGTGAAACCTTAACTTTAAAAATCTCTTTAACATACTACGCTATTGTTATTTTGGCTAAACTAAATATTTACCCATTAATTCAGTGATGTGTATTGGGGAGAATTAGGCCCATTAACGTCAGTCTGTGTTGACATGATGTCATGATTGACTTGTCTCAGGTTTTTGTTTGCCATCACTCTTGATGTGTGTGTTTCTCAGTGTGTGGTGGCCACTGTTTGTATGTCAGGTACAGTATGTTTGCAGGTTTACTGAGTTTATTTGTACAGGTGTTTGTGGTGTGCTCCATTGTGTTTCCTGTTTGGGTTGCTATGCGTCTATTGTGCCAAAATGGACAGAGTGTTTTCGCTGTTTGTAAGTGTCTTTCCTGTATTTAAAGGACTATGTTATTGTCTTGGTGCTCACGTCTTTGTGTAGGCGCACCCAGACTATTGTCCTACTGCCACTGGACCCGGTGCTGGCATGGCTGCTGATATAGAGCTTATTGAAAGTGATTGTTGTTGCACAGATGAGAGTTCATCTCAATAGGGGTCTGCGGCAAACCATTCAGACACAGAGTGGATCCTCTACCTGCCTCCACCAGACGCATATAAGAGATAAGGTCACCTTAGGACCCTGTGTGGACCCCCTCCACCTTCACAGCATCCTCATCCTCCTCAGCCCGCACAACCTCAGCCATCTAGTAAAACAAACCAAACAATAGAGGCAGATATGTGAGGGATTAGAGGTCAGAGGGCTGGGGAATGCGACATCTCCATTTCCAGGATCAATCTTCAACCGCTTGGTAATCTCTGGCCCTAGGCCCCACATACCTCCAGTGGTCTCTCTGGCTGAGAGCTGGCATTGCCAGGCTGTGTGAGCTGGTACCCCTGCTGGGTGTGGAGTGCTGATAGGATAGTGGGGGGTGGGGTTAAAACCTGATAGTGTGGATGGATGGAGGAGCAGAGGGATGAGTAACAAGGGGTCCTCACTTTGTATCCAGACCTCACCTAAATCCTCACAGATAGATGCATAAATGCACGTGTGTGTGTTTGCCCATGTATGACACAGACACAGTGTTATCGTGTCCCTGTGTACTCTGTGGGCACACGTTCATAAAGTTTGTTTTAATCTGTAAATTTGTAAATGCGAAATAACTTTGAGTTCTTCAGAGCAAACTGAATATTATCCCCAAGTTCCCGTTGTTATCTTGTGTACACACATTTGTTTATTTGATACAGCCCCTCTCCACTACAGCACTTCTGTATATCAAAGACAGCAGTGCAGAGCGCAATTGAAAATGGCTACCGTGGAGAAAGGTCTCTCTCTGCCTTTGACTGCGAAGAGGCAGAAAAAGCCCCATTCTCCGCTCCCTTCTTAGATCTATTTAAATAATTGAGGAGTAAACTGACAAATTAGGCACCTTTATGGACGCCCCTGGGCTCTCTCTGGGGTCCTTCAGTTTCCCCAATACAAGAGAGTGCCACCAGCCACAGGATAATATCTCTGTGTGCTTTGAGAGGGGGAGGGAGGAGGGAAGGAGGGTAGTGGGCCAGGAGGGGTTTCGCCAATCAAGCGGGCCACACTTCCTCCCCCAGGTTCTAATTTTGTGCCACATTAAAGAGCTCGGCCTCCATTTAGGACACAGAGAGGCATTTTCATAATTTGCCGGGTCTCTCGACTAGCTCGGGGTGCCTTTTTTTCCTCTCTCTCCTCCCTCTCTCTCTCACTCCGTGTCTGAATGGAAGGCCTGGGGAGGAAGAGGGGTAATTCATTCGCCTCCTTTCAACCAACCGGCTTCAGTTCTGCATAATGTTGCTGCTAGGTGTGTATTGCATCTAATATTTATCTCTTTAATAATTCTCTATTAGACCTGAATATTATTTGCCTTATAAAAGCTAACACTGCTTATTGTCAGCTACACAAAAATGGTGTCATTCACGTTTTGTTGGTACATTAAGACTAAATCATACGCCTGCATTTAGCATTTCAAGAAGTTAAAGACTATAGTGTGTCTAATCTGTGACCACGCAGCCATACAGCTGTGATGCTCACATTGATAAAAAATGTGTGATGTTGTATATGTACAGTACATAATCTAGGTTAAGGTTGTTTCATTTCCTCCTGCTGACACCATCCATTCATGTACTACAGTATGCGTAAGCATTGATTCATATGTGATTGGTCACATAATTCACAGTCTCAGGGGGCATTTCATCGCTGACAGACAAGCTAATCTAAAATCCCCCAATTTACAAATGAAAATCCCACCATCCAATTGAGCTAATAGAGGGACTTGAATGGGATAATAAGATGTGGTGTAATACTGTGTAAAAAGCCTGTAATGTTGTGTTGGTGTAAGAGCCTGTGTGACTGGATGTTTGACTGTTTGCAGTGATTACAGGGGCCTGCGGGCCTGGCGGCGGCTCCGTGGCTGGGACAGGGAGCTTCTCCCTGGGTAAGGAGATACGCCTGTCTGCCCCTTCTGCTGGAGCTACAGGGACCAGTATGTCAGGAGGGAGAGTACTCCCTGTGAGTGCTCTCTCTCTCTCTCTCTCCCTCTCTCTTTTTCACTCTGCCTCTTTCCGTCTGTCTCTCTCCCTCTCGTTCCCGGTCTCGCTGTGTCTGTACTATTGCAGTGCTTGCAGATGTGCACAAACAAGGGAGGATTAAAGCAAAACGAATCTAAACAGACAAATGGAATTAGAGTGATGGGTGTCGGTGGGCTGGTTCACAGTGATAAACATAATGATGCTCTGTATGTGTGCGTGTGTGTGTGTGTGAGTGTGTTCCTGTGTCTAGGGGATTATCAGTGGTTAGGTGTGTGGTGTGTATGGCTGGGTGACTGCTTCTGGGTGTCTTTGTGTGTTTGCCTATCTGTCTATGTTTTTGTAATTATGTGTGTGTATATTTACTCGGGTCTCTACTTGTGTGTGTGATAAATGTGTTATTCTACAATGCCTCACAAAAACAAGTCTCTGCGCCCTCTGCATGTGTGGGGATATGTTTCTCTGTGTTTTCCTGTTGGTCGAGGTCATATTTTCTTCTTGTCTTTCACAGTGCCGGTTTGTATTTGCACACCGGAGCTGCTAGCTGAGTCCGTGTGTCTCTGCTGGACTTCACAACTCTTCACCCAATATTGATATATGCCTAGAAAGATTAGAGAAGGTCTGTGGAAAATGAAGGTCTCATAAACTAATCTTGCATAGCGCCCTTCAGTTTATGTGCTGATGTTGTGTGCAGGCTTGTTTTCTTGCAACATGGGTCTGTGTGTTTGTGTGCTGAGGAGGTCAGGAGTGTGGAGCAGCCAGCAGGGGGGCAGTGATCAACAGACTGGGGCACCCCTGCCGAGGGGCTCTGGGATTAGGGCTAAACCCTGCCCTGCCAGATGGGCACAGCACATCCCCAGCATTGCACACCAGCACCTTCTTCTGTGGAAACCAGGCGACTGGAACCACGTTGATACTCACTGGTACGCCTCTCAGCTACAATACATATGTAGTCTACCCAGTGTTATGCATTTGAAAGAAATCCTTAATTGTTTAATTTACAGAATATTCCTTTTCCTAAGTAATTAAAGTTTAAAATTGCTGTTGTATCTTATTATAGACATGGATTGGTTAACTAAACAAGACGTGTTTGTTTAGTGAATGTATCATCAATCGTCTCTTCTCAGGACCACACAGAATGGCAGCAGGAGAGAGACGACTGAGATGAGGTACTCTTCAAAGTGTCAGCTAGTGGACAGTATGGCCAGTCAGCAGGTTCAAGGGTATCGGAAATGAAACTTACAGGTTGTTTTGATGTGCTGTATTTCAGAGCCACAGGCAACACTGAAATGATAAAGTGTGTGTGTATGTGCAGGTGTACGTGTGTGAGGGTAGATTGGTGGCTCAGGAATCAGCAGTGTGTTGATTGCTTCCTGCTCGACTTTTATCGCACACAACTGGCTCTAAATAGTTTCCAATTCACTTCATGAATCGCAGGTTTTCTGTATTTATTTCTTAGTATATTTATGCTTACATTTATGATCTGGAAGACATTCATGTTCAGCCACACTTCATTTGATATTAGAGGCATAAACTGGGAGTTTATGGTTGTAAGAAGGTGTGATAGTCATTATGGTTACCTGTTGCCATATACTGTTTCAGGTCAGTTTCACTACAGGTTATTACTGCTGTAATCTCTACATATGCAGAATCTGTATCGGAAGCTTTGCAGGACTAGCGTTGGTAGTCCTGCAGTATCTACAGGTCCTTAAAAATTCTTAAAATGTCTTAAATTCAATTTTATAAATATTCAGCCTTAAAATAGTCTTAAATTCAATTTTGTAAGGCCTTAACTGTCACAAGCATTTAATCTAAATTTCATTTGTCCATCTTTTAGGTTCTTTATGTCAAAATGAGTCAAACTCTTCTGCGTGAAAGTCCACATTTCTGCTGTTACAAATCTTTAAACCTACCACTGAATTTTTACAGTGTACTTGCACTTACCTATTGGCAAAATTTATATTAACCTAACTCACTCTAATAACCATATTCCTATTTAAAATCTGCCTCTGCATGGAACCACATATACTCTTCCCTGCGATGAATAAAAAATCAATAAATCCAAAAATCATTCTTAAATTTGGTTAAAAATGAACTTAAAAAGGTCTTTAAAAGCATAAAATTTAAGTGTGATATCTGTAGACACCCTGAGTCTGTTTGTAGTCCAAGTAGTATTGACCAGTTACATATTAGCGAGGTTTGATCTCGTGCAGGTAAACAGTGAGTGAAGAGCAAAAGAGGTGGAAAGCGTTGGCTGAAATGCAAACTTGGAACCCATCAGCCATAAGCTAATGATGATTTAGCTTCATATTGGCTATTTTTTTAATTATTTGTCTGCATTGTTATGCAGATATGTGTTTATAGAGTGTCATTACTGTGTATATAGCATCTAAACTTGCTAGTTGGACTGTAAACGAGTGGTCCATGGAAGAGGAAGTCCAACATGTTAGTCGTTGCCCCTAGAGGCTAAATCCCATAAATGTTGTGCTGCTTGTCATACCTAAAATAAGTGGTTTGAACTAGCCAATCAACATTTCCATCCTTAGAGTTCCCCACTCGTGCTGGCAGGCCTGTTTGACAAAAGCACGTGCAAGTTAAATTTAGTAGTATGCCGTATCGTCAACCTGCCATACGTTTTATGATACTACCCCACCTGGATCTCTTATCCACGGGTTCCCCAGCATGACTTAGGAAACCGTCTCTGTATTAGTAGAAAGCAGATTACATGAGTAAAGTGTACAAACAAATAAAAGATTACAGGCTGTGAACATGTTTCAGTCTAATGCCCTTTCAACAAGCAGTGCTCAGCACAATGCTTTTCTCTCCCCGAGCTAAATTTGGATTTCCCCTCTGATGTGAAGGCCTGCTGGCCAGCTATGTCTTCCACCAAGAGCACAACCTCTGTAATGACAGTGTTCCACACGGCTGGCCTGTCTCTTCCGCTGGTATTAGTTAGGCTTTGGAGTTCAAGTGACTACGGGGTTTAAACACGGATTTTAAAAAAAAAAGGGGGGGAAGAAAGACTCGCTGTTGTTCTTGAAAAGCTGTGTTTATCCAGGATTAGAGACACCAACATGTTAATAATTGTTTCTCACAGAACTGCAAAGAAGCACTTTCCTGTAATCCCCTAATCAGGCATTACACCTCTGAGCAAAGCCACAACGCAGGCGCGTGGTTTCTGTGACGCAGCACGCCCACACTGTGTGATACACCCGCGTCTTCCCCAACACCACACCCACTATGTGCAAAATCACCTGCTCTATTCATTGCCTTTTAAATCTACTTCCCTGTACCCATACATCCACTCTCTACCATAGATCTGTTGAGACAGAAATATTTTTGTGTGTAGTGCTGCCTTTTCACGATGCGTCTGCTGTGTATATGAGAACTTAGATTCATGGCAAACATATGTTGTCATTCTAGTATATTTTGATAACACATAACAACATGTTGATGTGCACAAAGGACAAAGTTTGTCTGCTCACTCTGATGATGATATCATGACCTATTGATGGTCTCCTTCAGAATAAAAAAGCGAGATGTTACTCTCAGGCCAGTTTGAAAGTAATTTCTGCGCCCTGCACTTAAGAGGAAGTGGAATGTATCGCCTCCTCTGATGCTGCCAAGGTCACATAGTTTGCTAGTGGTTGGTCAGCATGTCAGTACAGTGGCACAGGGTCAGACGCAAGGCCACTGTACATGCTGAGATGATGACAGGTCTGAGGGAAGTCCTGGGAATGTGAGGACTCAGCCACACAGGCAGTCAACACGGGAGCTGCTGGTAGTTGACTTTAATAAGTCTATATATATTTAAAAAGATGCTGAAATCAGCAGAAGCATTGTTTTAGTTTACATGTGTTCCAGAAATATTTTCACACCATCTATAAGGAAAACATAGGACAAAGATGACATTTGTTCGGAGATGTTAGCGTGTCCTTCCTGCTTCCCACAGATGCTTGTTTGTCCACATATTTGCTCGTTTAAACAACCCCCACCACATGCAGCGTTTCACTCCTTTCATTTTCACATTCAGCCTCTTCTTTTTTCGTTTTTGAATTTTTTGTGCCCATTGTTAGTGTTGAATGTTTGTTTGCTGTTCCCCCGGTCTCTGCCCCCTGTCTCCTTGCAGGGCCTGGTTGGAGAGTGCGATGAGGGGATCGGCAGGGATTAACCTGGGGAATTTAATTAGTGGAGCTGTCGTCCCTGCCCTTAACATTTCAATCTCCCTGGGCTGGCTGGCGGTGCTGGAGCTGGACCTGTGATGGCCAGCAGCTAGGGAGGGAGGGAGGGAGGGAGGGAGGGAGAGAGGTAAGGAAGCAGGGGTGATGTAGCTGACTGTAACTGCAAAGAACTTACATTAGCCATTTTCTCATATCAGTACCGAACAGTGTACGGAGAATCAGATCCAGACATTGTCCAGAGTTTCTTCTTCATACATGTTGCACACAACAGAAGATTGTCCATGTCAAAAGCTTTTTCAGCTACTGGCGTATGGGTAGAGCGTGCAGGAGGCAGGACATGACGCTGATTATACCACAGTCACATAGCTGGTTCATAATTTGGTCATAAATAACCGGGTCTCTTGCTGTTCTTTGAAATTGTCTGACAATTTCCACCTCTGCCCTTACCAACCAGAATTCCCGAATTTTGTAATCTTTCTTGTTAGACAATTTTGATGCTGTCTTGTGTAAATGACCCTTCTTCCCCACCATTGGGTGTCTTTTTTTTCCTTACAATTTTGGGCGATCCACATGAAAGAAATGTCATCCACACATCCACTTGCTTGCTGTGAATTCTACAGACAATTATCTGTTCTATTCGCTAATGGGCTCAATTGGACATCACACTAACTTTATACTAGGCAGCCGGCAGGAGAAGTCCATTTAATGTCTGATCCAACTGATCTGAACATTTATATTCTCACAGCTTCTCAGGGCAGTGTCTATATGATTTCAGGTTTGCTGTGCATGTGTGAAAAGGCCCAGGTAACTGGGGATAGCTACCACGGAAAACAAAAGTGCTACCTTCTTGCTGTAGTTGTGCAATGCGACACACTTCCTGTGTTCCATAAAGTGAGCCTTTATTGTTCGGGAGATCGTACCTGGTGGCAGACAGAATTGCGCAGTGAAATTGACACTTATAGGGAACTAATCTAAACGCTGATCGTAGCATCATTAAGTAGCCATTACATTGTGCAATCAACATTTACTTCACAATGAGTTAAAGCAAAACATTTGTCTAGCTCCACTTTAATTATAGCTAAAATGGAGATTTTAGTGTCATTTAAAAAAGAAAAATGATGATACTTTTTGGTATTGTGGAGGAACACTGTTTTCTGCGCATTATTTTTGGATAATTCGATAGTTTTTTGGTCTTTAATTGGGCCATTTTTTAACAAATTCCTTTGCAATGCACAAGACACACTTGTTCATACAAAAAAAATTGTAGTGTACTTTTTTTTTTTTAGTTCAAAACATTTTGTATATTTCAATCCCTTTTCTGTAGTTATCAAAACAATGTTGCTAATATTGTTTTTTGTAATAATTTTGGCCAGTATAATATTTATTTGTACATCTAACCACGCCCTGTCTTGTTGGCCCAGCGGTGGCGTTGGTGAGCATCAGAAGGGGGGGGGTAGCCGGTGTGAGCTTGGGGTAATCACTACTCAATCTGAAGCCACACTGTTGCATTGTAATCCTGATGCTAAACTCCCCATTAACCCATCTGGGACCCTACAACAGCCCACACCCCCCCCACCTGCTCCACAAACACACACACTCACAGCGACTGTGGCTGTATGTTCGAAGTGTTGTCTGTCCCGTCAGCGCCTGCTAAGGGGGGTCATGTCCAGCAAATTAAAAAAGCTGCTGTAGGAATGTCGCCAAGTCCCAGAGGAGCAACCAGCACCCGTCCCTCTTCCAGCGCTGACCCACTGGTCACTGGTGAATCCCCTGTTTGTATTCCACACACACGCCCAGCTCCGGGGAGCGGTCCCAGAAGCCCCCTGTGGGACTGCTGATAATTTAAGTCAAACATTATGTCCCCGCTTGTTTGACACCCATTTAAAGCTTTTCAATCACATGTGTTTGCTACAGTCCATTGCCTAGCCTTGGAGTGCTATCCATGTCACACCCTTTCAAAGACCTAATCAATTTTGTTTGATCAAGTT